GGGTTGTTAACCAATGTCATAAAATATGTGTACTACTGTTTCATGAGAAACTATTTGTTCTGTAAGCCTTCACCTGAAGTACAATAAAATATATTAAAAAAAAAAGAAATAGCCCCCAAACTATTCTGGCTTTCCCCCTCCCCAAATTTGTATTTTAATAAACCTCAAAAATGTATGATCGTGTTTTATTAGTGTTCTGATAAGTAACTTGTTTAGCAGCCTTTCCCCTTCACTTCTCTGTCTATGCTGCCACCTTGGGAGTTAAACAAAAACCAAGAGAGTTGGAATTAAATCAGATGTAAGATAAAGTAAAGAGATTGTAGAAAAGACCTATAGGCTTTTGAGGCTCTGGGTAGACTTGGGTTACTTTGCCTATTTCCCAAAGATTAACACAGATATTACAGAAAGGTAGAGTGATGGAATAATGTTTGTAGTTATATATAATATAAATACTTACCCACACGTGTCATCTGTGTTTTGGAAATATGGTCATTTCTCATCTCTTCACACACTTCCGTACTTTTGTCTGAATTTCTTTGTAACTTGTCTTGGGTAGTAAGTGACGTATTTATATTTTTATCTTTAGGTTGTTCCATATCAAGCCGTTCTTCAACTACATTGGCCTTAACTTTTCTTCTCCGATTTTGTTTTATAGTTCCTTTATTTTCAGATGACTTTTCTGTATTCTCAGAATACAATGCATCTTTTGTAGATTTACAACTATTCTCCATTTTATCTGCTAAAGCACAAGATTCACCTACTTTTTTTCCTTCAGAGGGCTGAGATTTCTCTTCTGGGTTAGCTTTATATGAATTTTTATCACTTGTCAGTGTCTCAGATGTTACATTGTGATGCTTTTTTCTTGATTTCTTTCCTTGTAGGACCACAGTGCTCTCAACAGGGGATATTGTGCATTGTTTCGGAGGCTTAACATTTCTTGGTATCTTAATCAAAGATTGACTGCCAAAACTTATGTCTGATTCGTCAATTATAAATTCATCCTCTAACATCACATCATTTGGAGTAGAATGAGGTGGATCAGCTGCTACATGCCTAATAACAGAACTAAAAAAGGATATTACAATAAACAAAATAGCTTACAAAAAAAAAAAAGAACAAGAAGAACTGTTTGCCTTTGCTTAGTGAAGAAATTAAATAATCTACATAAGGAAATAAAAATAATCCACATATCTTTTAAAGAACAATTCGAATGTCTTCTCAATTTTCCGTTACTCTTAAAAATATTTCCCTCCTTTGCATTTCTATAATGTCTGGTCACAGTGTAAACGAGTATGATCAAATCAGTAGAAATAGTTGAA